CCCAAAACCATATTGTAATTATTAAGGCCCCGACAGTCTGATATTCGCCGCACATGAAGTCTAGGACATTTTCAGTGGGTAGTTACCGTTATAGGAGGCTTATAGAAGGTCTATGTACCTTATAGAAGCCTTATAGAAGCCCTATATACCCTAAACTCCCCACCTGTAGTTTCCTTTAACACCCTAACCCTAAACCCTAAACCCTAAACCCTAAACCCTAAACCCTAAACCATGAACCCTAAACCCTAAACCCTAAACCCTAAAACATGAACCCTGAACCCTAAACCCTAAACCCGAAACCATGAACCCTAAACCCTAAACCCTAAACTCCCCACCTGTAGTTTCCTGTAGTGACCGTTCTGGGCGACAAACGACGGGTTCGTCTGAGGGTCCCATGCGGCTGTTCACGGCGAGTGGACGCGAGACGCCTTCCCAAAGAGCCCAACTACCCCCTTAATTTAGGAATGTACCATAAATTATTGGGTTCCTTTAAGGTATCTAATAAGAGTACTATGAGAGGGTTCCTTGATGGAAGGTTTGAACCTACCTCAAATAATAGGGGCCTTAATCTTATGATTTAAGGTTTATTCTTTAATTAAGGGGTATTGGGCTCTCTGGGTTTCACTGGCTCGTGGATCATGTCACCCACCCAGACCCAGAGAGCCCAATACCCCTTACTTCAGGGGTCCCTATATCATTTAAGGTAGATTCCTTAACTAAGGGGTATTGGGCTCTCTGGGCAGAGCTGTCTGCCCATTGCTGCAGTATTATTTTGATGCGGGCCGCAGCCGCATGGTACCCTGCATCGGCATCGGCGGGGCGATTACCGACGAGCCCGTGGCCTCGCAGAGTTATATGGGTAGTTCTCTAAACTAGGGCCCCTGTCTGGGTCCCCAACTTAGTACGGTAAGAAGGACCCTAAAATGGACCCGAATTTAGAGAACTATGCATATACAGCCTCCAACGCTGGTGTGCAGGGGACCAGGTCCAGGTTCTCACGATTTTGACCTACGGCAACAAGGGAGAGCATTGGGGTTTATGATGTTTGAGGGCTTCTGCCATGGAATGCAAGAGTTAGGTTGCATTGCTATCCCTTAACTCTAAACCCCTTATGCTGTAACTCCAAGGCCGAAGCCCAAAAGCCGCTGCTACTGTTTCAGCCTTCGTTGACACTGCCCTCTTGCAACGGCGACGGGATCGGGAGTGTCAGCAAATAAGGGATCCCCATTATGGTAGACTCCATACCAGACCAGGCACCCAAACGTCCCAGGCTTGGAAGCTAGAAACCCTGAAACCCCAAAAGCAAATCCCTGAGATCCCCACCTAAACCCTAAACCCCTAAACCCTAGACCCCTAATTCCCTAAAGCCCTAAACCCTAAACCCTTAAACTTTAAGCCCT